GCGTGGAAAATATGGCTTTTATCTTTATTTTTAAATGGAAAAGCATTTACCTTAAACAAGACTAACAAAAATTACACAGTTGAGTGGAATTTTCAAGCTGTTAGCGTTGTATGTGATAAAACAAAGCCAGGAAAACTTTGCTAGTGGAATGTTCGCTATAACTACAATTGTCTCGAACATTTTTATGTAAATTATTAATAAGTAATAGCATGCATGTTTCTCGTGAAATTTGGATAAACATGCACTCGTGAGTTTTTCAAATACCTCAAATAGCACTCGTCCTTCGGACTCGTGCTATTTTGAGGTCTTTGAAAAACTCACTCGTGCATGTTATATCCAAATTGCACTCAAAACCATGCTATTATCTATACTAATTAGCAGTTGACCTGGGGTGATTTTGGTCATTTTCATGGTCATTTTGACATTTTCTTGTAAAATGTTACACTTAGACAAATTTTTCCTTCCAATAACCACCCCTAAAAGCAACCCTTCTAAACACTATAAACACTTCAGAAAGGCTGTTGCTTTTGCATTTCGGAAGTTAGAGTTATGTCGGCACTGCCGTTTCAGGGCGGGTCATTTTCAGGACTTTCATCCCGGATTCAGGTTTTTGCACATAAGCCATGTTGACCGCCATGGTCATTTTACCCCAAAACAGTTGAGATTACCTGTAGTAAATGAAATGCACACAAACTCCTATACAGGTCCTAGACTAATTTCTCGTGGTTCGCCCAGCTATTAACTTATCTGCTCATAATAACAAACCTTTGGGGTCGTCAAAGGTAACTGTTGCTTCTTTCCTGTCTGATGAAAGTTGAACCTTTTTCACTTCACCTCCGCCATTCCTTCTCTTTTGAAAATGCATTGTAATACGGTTTTCTGTCACTCCTTCAGGAAGACCAGAGACCAGAATTGTTGCTGATTCTACAATCCGTTCAGTCGCTTGTGTTTCCGTCTTCAAAAGTTCAACTCGCACCTGCTTTCCTTGAATTATTTGCTCTGTATCCACAACTTTCTCAGCCACTAATTCAAAAATTATATAATATTTAAAGACCAAGATAAACAATAAGTCTTGCTTCTACAATTGTGGTCGGTTTGTGACTCAGTGGTTACGGGTTAGTACTCTATGAACAGGGGCAGGTTGTATAAAGTAGTTTATGTAAAATGTAGTCAGTGGAAAAGTTAACCAATCAGAATCGAACATTTTAGATTTAACTACAATTTACTGACTACAAATTATCGGTAGTTAAGTGTTTTATACAACCGGCCCCAAAGTTTGATTCTGCAGTCGATAATTGTCTGATTTATATATTGAATTTCCCCCTCAGTTGCGTGTGGGAATTATGCTATCATTCGACCATATCCCACAGGTTTGATTTGTCCAGCCCTTAACTTATCTGCTCATAATACAAACCTTTGGGGTCGTCAAAGGTAACTGTTGCTTCTTTCCTGTCAGATGAAAGTTGAACCTTTTTCACTTCACCTCCGCCATTCTTTCTCTTTTGAAAATGCATTGTAATACGGTTTTCTGTCACTCCTTCAGGGAGATCAGAGACCAGAATTGTTGCTGATTCTACACTCCATTCAGTCGCTTTCGTTTCCGTCTTCAAAAGTTCAACTCGCACCCGCTTTCCTTGAATTATTTGCTCTATATCCACAACTTTCTCGGCCACTAATTCAAGAATTATATAATATTTAAAGTCCAAGACAAACAATAAGTCTTGTTTCTACACTTGTGGTCGGTTGGTGACTCAGTGGTTACGGTTAGTAATCTATGAACAGGGACAGGTTGTATAAAGTAGTTGATGTAAAATATAGTCAGTGGAAAAGTTAACCAATCAGAATCGAACATTTTAGAGTTAACTACAATTTAACTACAAATTATCGGTAGTTAAGAGTTTTATACAACCGGCCTCAAAGTTTGATTCTGCAGTCGATAATTGTCTGATTTGAGTTTCCCCTCTGTCGCGTGTGGGAATTATGCTATCACTCGACCATACCCCGCAGGTTTGACCCATGTACTCTAGTTTTCTTGTGCAGTTATACTGTAACAATAAAAGATAACCCTTATAGGATTTCTACTGGCAGAATACTTTACAAGTGATTTAGTTATCCAGTATCAATAATGTTAATTTAGTTCTTTATACGTATCAAAGCACACTTCAATTGCAAAATAGTTTTCCATTGTTAGATAACTCATGTGGTAAACTATGTGTCCTGAGTGCATATTTACTTGCACAATGTACTTCCTACCTTTGGGATCCTCAAAGATTACCCAAGCTTGCTTCCCTCCTGGCAAAAGCACGGTGTCCTCTACTTCTCCTCCGTTATTCTTTTTTCTTTGAAAGTGGATATGAATTGTGTTTTTAGGTATTCCCTCGGGAAGTTCAGAAACCAGAATCGTTCTTTCTTCTTTTCCAACGATATCCACATCTCCTTGCTTTATGGCTTTAATAAGATCCAGTTCCGTAGCCATGGATCGAAGAGTCAAAACTTCTCCTTTGAATGTTTGTTTTTTATTGATAATAGCCTCAGCCACTAAAAAAGAAAGAAAGTATACTTTTTTTTAAATATTCTTGATCATTCAGTTATTTAATTTCACCTGTTAGTCAAGCTGATCTGTAATAACATGAGAAGGTATTTACTGTAGTGATCTAAAACACAGGAAAATATTTTGGTAAACGATCCTATAGCAGGTCTAAACATAATAAGCTCATATTTCTAAAATCTAAAATTTCAGTGTCGTTTTCTCATTTTGTTGCGTTTGACGGTGAGCGAAAGTAAAACTGTGCGAAAATATCGCATTTAGGATACATGTAATTAAATTGCACGAATTTAAGCCTGGGTGAAAATCAGAAGGTACATATCAAGCCAACGATACGGTGCTGATTTCCTTTGTTTTCTGACATTAGAGAGTTTTAGCTTCACGTTTACGGCAAACGTCAAACCGCTAACGAAGTTTTTGATTCTATAAGTCTATTATAACAGCTTTTACACCAGTCTTGAAATATAAACAATTATTAAACTTGTGCTCTTTAACAATGATTTAAAGGAGAGCAAATTAACCACTAGTCACCTATTCGCGAAAGCAGTAAATTATGATTTGGCGTTTGAAGTTTACGTTTGGCGTATAAATTTAATGGTTTAACGACTATACAAGCCCTCATAGCAGTTCAAGCATGAAATTTATACCCCAAACGTAAACTTCAAACGCCAAATCTTAATTTACTGCTTTCGCGAATACGTGACTAGTGGTTAATTTGCTTTCTTTTAAATCATTGCTAAAGAGCACAAGTTTAATAATTGTTTATATTTCAAAATTGGTGTAAAAGCTGTTATAA